TGGTGTAAATCTCAGATTTTGGAAGCAATTTGATCACATTTCATATTGAACCCAAGCAAGACCTATGAACTAACCTTCCTCTGGTGTGTTTAGCCTTTTCTGCTAAGCAGTAGTGAAAAATACCCATTTCTTGCAGATGTTCGGTACAGGCCATCAAAAATCTCAGCAACCCCCCAACCCCAAAACACAAGAATTTACAATAGAAGTCAATTGCAGTGGGGCCAGGTCTGGTGACCCGTCGTTTAGCAGATGAAATGATATTTTTGTTTTGTTGTTCCTATGTAATCAGTTCTTTCAGTTACTTAGTAAAACGGTCTTACGTTCTTAGTACATATAAATAACAACCATAAAGCTCTTGAGGGAAAAAGGGGACAGAAGAGCAGTAATAAGTAGGAAGCATCCATTGAATATTATGCTGAGCCACTGTCTGCTCTTGGAGATAGCAGAGAAGGAGCTGCTGAAGGAGGAGGAGAGCTGATCCTTAGAGCTGATGTCCCATTTTAGTGTCCAAATTGGGACAGGCTGCTATCTAACTTGTCTTCATTTAAATGTTTCTAAATTGATAAAAGCAGAACAAAACCCTTAAACAGACAGTCTGAAGCACAGGTACAGACAAAGGTGATGTTTCTCTATTGCCCTCACATGAGTTTGGAAGAGGGCTTGTTCTGATGTTCACTTTTTCCTTTCCCATACCCATCATTGCCTTTTCCTCCCAAATTATGCTTGCATTGTGATCAAGCTCTGTGTGCTCATCTAACTCCTTCTTCTAGCAGTTCCTGTAACAGGCTCAGCAGAAATGGCACAAGAACAAAAGATAGAGTTAGAAAGCAGGAGATGCTATCCAAAAGCCAGGAGTTGGACATTTCTCCGCTATTGCTGAGACTCATTATTCTTTCTGTCCACTACATTTATTGCCATGGTGTTTAGGAATTCCAGCCCTGGGTTCCCATAATGAGCTATTTCTGTGAAGTGCTGTATAAAGGCAGAACAAAGAGATGGTCCTTCCTTTAAGATCTTGCTGTGGACAACAGCAGATTGTGATGAGCAGACAGAGGGGGAGTACAGGAAAACAAGAAGACAACTGTGAAACTAATTAGGATTGTAAAACTCTGGACAAGTCTGGTCACAATGGAAATATTAGTGGTTTTGGAGGGTACATTATTTCAGCTTCAGAATCAATGAAGCAGCAATCAGACTAAATCTACAGGCAATGTTTTATATGTCCTTGCTTCTGAGAAGGGAAAATCTAGTAGAAAACACCCCAAAACAGTATGGATGCAAACAAAATATGTAATCTCCATATAAAATCAACACTCTTTTTTGTTAACCTTGCATTATTACAGATAAGCCAAAATACAACTCTGATTCATTCTACATTTAAGGACAGTTAACTACCCTTTTCATGTGTTCAGATGTCCTGCAAGGGCCAAATGAATCCTCTGATTTTTCCTTATTTCCTATGTGGCAACTGGGTTTTTTTGTAGGGACACTGCTCATACATGATATCAGTTTTTGCCACTCCCAGGAAAGCACTTGTTCCTGAAAATCAGTGATGTCCCGGTGTTAATGATGTTTAATTAAAAAAAAAAAAAAAAAAAGAAACAGACATTGCTGTCTTTCAGTTTAGAAATTACAAACTCTGCTTCTCCTCCCAGCACCATTTTCTTTCTCCCGGAGACATCCACATGCTGTCATTGTCTGCGCATTAGTCACGTCTCAGAGATGGCAGAATCAGCTGAGAATTTATAAATTGCCTTTATTTCTTTGGTTGGTTGTGCTTCAGATTCCTCCCTAGTTCTCCTACATTCTGTCTTCTGCTTGTGCCGTCCGTCACTTGTGCTCCTTGCTGTTATCTCTGACAGAGAGCTGTTCATTAGAAATAACCCTTCCCACAGCTTTCTTTGCATTTCAAACTTGCTTCAAGTTATTAGGCTATATAAAGCAATGTGGAGCTTCTCTCTGTTTTATCTCAGTAGGCCTTGGAACCACGCTAATCGCCAAGTTATGACTGTCTGTGTGTCGGGTGAAGGAATGTGTGGGTAGCATTTGTCTGCATGAGAAGAGAGTCCAAGAGCCAGCCATAAGGATATTATTAATGTTGTATCTTAGGTTAAAGCATTAGCCTGTCTCTTCAGTGCACTGAAAAATGTGCCTGGAGATTTTAACTAATATTCTAGACTTCAACAACAAAAAACCCCACAACCCAAGCTCCAGCTTGACTCTGCAGTCTCCAAGGCAGTCACTGCCATGTCAAAACAGCCATGAAAAAGAAGTGTGTTTCTTATGTAAAAAGCACACCATGGCAAGTATATTTCCTTCCAGATGGTCCTTCCATTCGAGCTGGTGTCCTAGCCATGGTGAGCAGAAGTCAGGGTAACACAGATGCGAAAGTGAAATAAAAAACCTGCCCACCTTCCCCTCACTGGGGAGAGGGAGACAGTAACCTTCCTGCCTGTGTGGCTTAAGGTTTATGTCTTTGTGGCCCTTTGCAAAGCCAGTCAGCACTAGTTAACATTTTTAAAATTCAATTTAATTTAATTTAATTTTATTTATTCTTTTACTTCTAAGTACCAAGTAACTTTCCGTAAATCAAAAGGAGAATCAGAAAAAAAACAAGTGGAACACCATTAAATGTGTTAACACCATTAAACGTTTTGCCAGGTATACCCATACTTGCAGTAGTGTACTACATGGGAAATAGCTTATTATATGGATTTCAGTAAATGCTGAAGTATATATATATCTAAAAACCATATAGATAACTTAAATACGTTAAAATATATAAAACATATTTACATACAAAAATGTTTGTGTGTGTGTGTAAAATACTACTGACAGGATGGAGGGGATATATCTCAACCAGCTTTGGCCACCCAAAGGCTAGGTGTCAAATCCAAAATGACTGTTTAAATTGCCTCTATAGTCAATGACGACCTTAGGATGGGATGACCTCCCCTACAGACTCGACAGGACTAGATTCCTTACTTTTAGACAGCTTGTTTCATGTCCAACTAGTACCATCTGATACATACAAGCAAAATGTATAAAATGGACTATTTCAGAAGAATTAATATATTAATACGCCTTCTTGCATAGGGCCCTAACATTTTTATGCAGGACCAGGTCTTTTCAGATCAGATGCACTGATCAATATTGCACTGGGCATTTCCTCACCAAAATTAGTGAAACTGTAAATGGAGTAAGGTGCTGCCTGTCATTTGGTGCAGAGCGTTCCCACAGAGCAAGGCTCCAGACTGGTTTTGTGTACGTGCTGTAACCTTCATGTGTTGGGAACCTGGTGTCCTCCCGTTCTGTTGGACACCTTTGCGCAGCAGCAGATTACTAGTCAGCATGAGAAAGTCTGGCAGAACAGTCCTCAGGTGTCACATTTACAGCAAAGACAGAAACAGCTTTCTTAAGTAAAGGGACATCTGAAAACCAGTTTGTGTTATAGTCTGCCATCACTGTAAAAAGATAAAGATGCTCAGGGTAGTGAGCCAGAGGCCTTTCATGGGGCCTGAGTATTATCTCCTCAGTGGATTCAATCAGACAGCTGCTCATGAATCCTCAATTTTGCCGCCTTTGGTAAAAAAGATCAGAGACAAATTAGACAATGGTTCAAAGCTATGCCAGGGAGGTTCAGACTGGACATTAGGAAACATTTCTTTACCAAGATGGTGGTCAGACACTGGAACAGGCTTCCAAGAGAAGTAGTTGATGCCCCAAGCCTGTTGGTGTTTAAGAAGCATTTGGACAATGCCCTTAATAATGTACTTTAACCTGGTCAGCCCTGAATTGTTCAGGCAGTTGGAACAGATAATTGTTGTAGGCCATCTCCAGGAAAGCAGGGCTCTGACATGCATAATGCTTGCTTGGGAAGACAAACACCATCACTCCAATTGTCCCTCCCCTTTCTTCTTCTTCCCCCAGCTTTATATGCTGAGCATGACATCACATGGCATGGAACGTCCCTTTGGTCAGCTGGGGTTCCAGCGGTGTCCCCTCCTAATTTCTTGTGCATCCCCAACCTCCCTGGTGGGGTGGTGTGAGGAGCAGAAAAGGCCTTGACTGTGTAAGCACTGCTCAGCAATAACTCAAACATCCCTGTTTTCAGCACAAATCCAAAACGAAGCCCTATTATGAAGATAATTAACTGTATCCCAGCCAAAAGGAGCACAGGTAGTAATTACAGCACTGTGAACAACCGCCTTCCTTCTGCACGGATATTTTTCATGTATATTTGCAACAGTCAGTTCCAAATTTTCAGTAATCAGTAGTGAGTATCGGTGTGGATTACCTCCCCAATATTTTTTGGTAAATGATTTTCTGGCCTTGAAGGACCTGAGGGGTCCTGTTTTTTGCGATAACTAAAAGGAAGCACTCCATTCTGATTTTTTTCTTCAAAGGGAGGGGGATTTTCCCCTTCTTTTATACAAGATACTGTTTTAATGGGCGATCATTTGCCTTAGTGCTGCATATAATGCTATTGTATACAAAGCATTAGTGTCTGACCTCCTCGTTAGTTATGCTAAGCAGTACAGCTGCTTTCCACTAACTGATGAAATAAAACATAATAGCTTGCTTGCCCAAGGACATTGGCTCTCTGAGTCAAAAAAAAAAAAAAAAAGACCACCCCAAACCACTGCTTGTTGCTGGTGCTGTTGGCCACCCGGGCGGGAAGGACAGATCATCCACCACTGCCACTGGGAACAGGGCTGTGGCTGCCTGAGAGATCAAAGCAGCCGAGGGAAGGGTGGGTCGGGAGCCAGGGAAGGGGAGGGAGGGAAAAGCAAGAACAGGTTGGTGAAAACAAGGCGAGGGGAGCATCTGCAGAGGAGGGATGGAAAGGGGCTCGGTGCAGGTCAGCCCCTAAGAGGTAAATTTGGCTCATCTCCTGCTCTGATCAACTGAGAATACAAAGTGGTAAGGCACGCAGGAAAAACTGGTGTTATTAAGCTGTGAATATAGTACAAATGAGAAAAAAATTACTGATAATACTGTTATATCATGAATATTTATAGGTTTTGTCTTCTCCAGGTTTTCTGTGTATTATAAAGCCGTTGATAAGCTGATGTTGCTGATCAAAGTACTGTAACTTTGGATACCCGTAAGGCCACATCTTTATTAACTGCATGAAACAATGGACGCGTCCAGATTTGAACCCAGCTCTTACTTTTTCTTCTGAGCAAACATTTCTCATCCAAGTGACTTAGCACAGCAGTGGGAGTTCTGTTTTCCCAGTTACTCGTGTAATCCACCATGTGAACTGATGCGTGGAAAGCACCGAAGTTAAAACAGGTCACCTAAAACAAGTGCTCTTCTCTTTTCTGCTCTCTAGTTACCAGCTAAGACAGGAGTTGTTTCAGCTTCTCGGTGCTAAGCGGCAGTGCAAAGAAGATGAAGACAAATGGAGACAAGAGACAGCTGCCTTCTTCATTCAGGTTGCCTGGAAGAAACAGCTGAACCATAGCCCTCTGAAATCAGTTCCGTCATGTAAAAGTCTGAAATCTATAAACAAAACCAGCTCAGCCATTAAAACCAGCAAGCAGTCCATCCTTAAGCAGATATATGGTAATTTTGTCTTCACTGTACTTTAAGTACCTATGCTTTTATTTTTATAAGAGTGTATTCTTCACTTCTTACCTAATTTTTAGGCATTTCAGCTATTTATAAAAATTAGTCTGAATCTCGGGTATTCTGGGCAATTGTGTTTGTGTTTCAGGCTGACAAAAAAACCAAACAACCCTCTGTGATTTAAAACAGTTGCTGCTAAAGCTGTTTGAATGGCCACACGGCACTACTGCAGCACGGGTCCTGAGCAACCCAGCCATTCTGGTGCCAGAGCTGCTCATATATATCGATGCAGAAAGAGAACAGAGCAGTTAAACTGGGGGTAACTGGCTGTATCGATGCCCAGTGGCTAGCTGGAGCACGGTTTAATTTTTTAAAGCGGTATTTAAAACTTTTTTGGGGGTTTGAAGTTTGCTTTTTTAAAAGTATTTCCATTTGAAGAATATGGTCTTGTTCCATGTTAATAACTGGCTTGTTTGAAGATGGTTGGTCTTTACTGGAAGAGCAAGATCATCTTTTCTGCTAACAGTGCAGTGCTTTGCACTACGCCTGAACGCACGCGGTGCCAAGGAAAAGCATTGCTTTTAAACCTTTGAGTTCCTTTACAGTGTGGATCACTGCTGGAGTAAGGATGTGCTAATTAGGTGTACCTTCACGGGAGGTAAAAGTCACTTCCATCATGGCTCTGTAGTTTAGATAGCCAAAAAGGATTAAATAAACAAACACATAAAGCTAATAATTTTATTTTGCTTCTCTTTTATAGCAACTGCAAGATATATTTTAACTTCACTTAAAGTTTGGTTGAACCACAACCATCTCATGAGTTTCCTCATCATAAATGAGAATAATTTTTAGGGTAAAATAAGGCTGTAGCCTACTTAAATAGTTTACAGCTCTACATAACCCCATCTCTGTGAATTAACACAAAGCTGTTCATACTGTTTGTTACAGGACGCTCTCAGGAAGGCAAAGCCTATCAGCCAGCAAGGCCTCCTTCGAAGCTGAAGCTTTCTGATGTGCAGCTGGTCTCAGGTAGGACACCTACACTTTAACAATACTTTAATGTTTATATATGGATGGGATTGGTTTCATCTTAGGAAAAAAATATGCTCAAGAACTGGGATCTCATATCAAAACACATAACTATTCCCAAACTGTTGTGATTGCACGCTCACTCTTTCACTGCTTTTAGGCTCGTTTGAGCACTGTACTTTTATCCTTATGTTGAATTATTTATATGAAAACCTAATTTCATTGGGCTCTTACTAGGAAAGACTTTAATATAATAGACTTGTGCATTGATAAGCCAGATGACATCCACCTGTGGTTAAAACTGCTTATAGATGCTCATACTTTGGTTCAGCACAAGTCTTTGCTAGTCCTACAGAAGTAAAGGGAGTGGATTTCTACACGTGCCAAGAACTGACACGCCTGTTTGGTAGAAATAACCTGGTTTAGTACATACACAAAAACTCGAAAATCCCAAGTTACTCATCTGATCTCTGCCCTTTCTTCTAAAATGGCGTAACAGGGTCCCTGCACTGTGCACTGAGCCTCAATTGTTGCATGAAATTTTACTTGCAGTAAGTTTTGAGGTGCTAGTGAAATCATGCATTTATTTGCCGTGTAGTCATTACCAGCTCCTCCTTGGGAAAGTCCTAGTTGTGTTTTAACTGAAATTTTTTGGATGGAGCTGGTATGGGGGCAGGTAGGGTTGTCAGGACCAGGAATGTCAAGCAGGCAGATGGGGCTACTCTGTGTAGAAAAGACCAGCATCGAAGAACAGAGGTTGGAAAACTATTATCAGGGTCATTAAAAGGCTGGAACGTTTATGCATGCAGCATTGACAGGTAGCTTAAAAATGACATTAAAGTACGTGGTCATCTCTCCTGCTACTGCTTTTCCAAATGCCATTTTTAAAACCTTTTCCAAGTATGAAGCAGTTACTGGGGTATGGGAGCTGTGGCGATGGCAGCCCTTCACTGTGTGAAGATTTAGTGTCTTGGTGGCCAGTTGGTCTTCATGGTTGTGTCACAGGTAGTTCCAAAACAAGCCACAGCAGATGCTTCAGGGAGCCAGCAGTTCAGTTAATTTGCAAAGGGAAGTAAAATACATTTTCCAACTAGTTTAAGAACATTCTGAAGTCCAAAGAGAATGTGTCAGTGTGCCTACCCTTGCGTTTGTTAGCAGTTAGCAGAGTTTCTGCCTCATTAACAGACAGGCTTTTTTCTTCCCCTGTTTGAAAACTGTTTTAATGAAGAGGCCTGACCAGACAGGTGTTTGATTGCCACCTCCTCATACAGCCATGAATCGCAATTTTAAAAGAGCTTTAGCAAATAATGCTTCTTTTCGTTCAGCTTTTCGGGACAAGAGATCTCCCTGTCTCCTGAAATACAAAGGCTTTCTTTGGAGGTTCCAGTGTCCTTTGCTTTCATAACTTGGTGACGAATAGGACAGAGATAGGAACTCTGCCCAGCTCCTTTAGAACACTACCTACTTTTATTCACCTAAGAGGAGCTCGGGGAACTTTAGCCCTGACTTAAAGACAATAACGTGTTTTTCATCTGCCTGCCTTCGTGCGCGGCACCATGACGTTTGTTGGAAAAGTTCAGAGCTGTCAGTGGCTAATGCCAGAGACTCCCCTTCTGACGTAGGTGCCTGGAGTAGGTCAGGATGGGCTCTTCACACAGAGTCTTCTCCTGCAGAAGGTAGAGCTGGGAAGGTGAAGGCTGACTGGCAGCCCTGCTTTTAATGCTCAGACAGGGAAAAAGCACAGAGTGACAAATCTGTGACAGGGACCGACACCAAACTGACTTCACTTCTGGGCATAAGGAGATGAGACACTTTGGAGTGGGGGCAGAAGGAACTGAAAGGAAACGTACAAATAAGGAAAGGGGGCAGAGGAGGACAGGCAGGAAAGGAGTGTGAGATGGAATGTACAGACATCGGACCCATGCTCAAAAATATTCTGGAAAACAGGGCCTTTATAATTGTTATAACTAAAACCCATTTAGAACCTGAAAGTTGTTCCTTTTAAAATACCTATTTTTTAATTAAATAATGCCTCTGTCAATTCAGTAGCTACTATTTCAAGATGCTCTCTGCAGCCAGCCAGATAAAACTTTCTTTTTTTGTTTCACTGTGGACATTAAAGTGTGCTTGTAAGTTGTAAAGGAGGTTTTGCAGTTCTTGGCATTAGAAAGACGTCCTGGAGACGTGCTGGGCTCACACCCTCAATGAAATATTCAGATTTGCCATTGGGACGACCCTGGCTAGAATGGGATAAAGCACTGAAGTGTTGCATTCAGTCTCTACAAAACCGGGAAGCACATTTATTACTTATAGCACATTGCAGTAAATAAAAGCAGGTTCAAAGCTGAAGAGAGCACTCAGCTGCCCTGCTTTGAGGACATTCACGTTTGCTTTCTAATAATTCAGAGCGTGCTCGCTTTAGCCCTGGCCTGGCTTTCCCCACCTTCTAGAAATGACCCAGTTCCCAGGGCTGCTAAATATTGCTCCAAGCAACTTCTTGCTGCAAAATCAGCCAAGAAATCAGCCTGGAAACCTCCCTTTGTTTATGAAGGTAAATCTCAAGTTATGCTCTGTAATTACAAGCTCATTAAACATAGGGAGCAGCATTCTGTGCAAGCTGTGCCCCTGCCACAGAAACCCAGCTCTATCACAGGTAATTAACACTGAGATGTCAGGAAAGAGGCCTGTTCTTTTCCTGGTAGATTCGTTGTTCAGGAAATTCAGAATGCAGCACAGATTAAACTTTTTATCCACGGGCGTTACTCATCAAAACCATTTTGTTCTTTTACAGTAAACAACCTACAGTGTGTTAATTTGCTGGAGAACATGGGAAAATCCAAGCAATTTTCATACAACATGAGACCAACCACTGCTGCAAAATCAAAAAATCCAAGACTCAAGCACTAAACAAAACCAACTGTTTGGAATTGAAAAAGCACCTTCCAGTACAACTGTTATCTCGCGTAACATATGAGTCTTCCACAACATATTAAACTTGAAGACATTTTCCATTTTGTATTATCTCAGCATTACAGGCCAAGCAGGCTTCTAAGGAGTCGGACTCATTTTATTTTGTGTACAAATTAGTTTTTAAATGCAACTGTTAATTTATTCACTGACAGGATGAAATCTGAATTGCATTTGGAAACAGCAAATGAAGCAGGAAGCCCAGCACTACGACAGAGTTGCGGGGGCTCCCCAACATTTTCTGTTGTCAAATGCAGGAATTTTGAACGTGTTCAAATGCAGTTTCAAAGCGAAGGAGCACGGAACTGCACAAAAGATGCAACAGTTGGGAAGGGCTGCTCTTCCATTCCACCTCAAATTTATTAAACGTATTTCAAAAGCTATAAAGGAACAGAAGAGCAGCCTTCCTGCTCCTCTTCTGTACTAAAGAAACAATTGTTTCTTAGTTGTAGCTATGAGCTTGGAAGGAAAAGTGGGGATGTTGACCAAAATTACTCAGTAATAAAAAAATAAAAAGCATAAATAGCTTTTCACAGCCAATGGAAACGGTCAGGGGGGTGTTTTCTACCCTTTAAGTTTATTAAGGATTTTTTCCATATTAATAGCTATTTTTATATGTGCGCAAAAAGAGTTTCTACAGAAAGCAAGAAAAGATGGGACCGATTCTAAAAGAAAACTTGATCTTATAATAGCTTTGGAGCTGCCAGTGTACAGTACTTACCTTGCACAAAGTATTTAAAAATATAAATTCAGCAAAAATAAAGTAATGTTACTTACTTGTAAAGTATATTGTTTTCTATTTTTTCTTTGAGTTGGTATTATATAATTCTAATTTTTTAATTAATATGATGCTTCAGAATAATAGATGAAGTCAATGAGAGTCCATATCTCTGTAAGCACTTAAGGCTTCAAGGAGGCTGGATTTTCTTTACCGCTCCCCCCAGCAGCCACCACATCTACTAAACTGGTTCCCAGTAACGTCGACTCCCTTGGTAAGAAAGGCAATCGAGGTCTGCAGTTCTTTGTAAAATTTTTATTCTGTTTCACTTACAAAAAATTGACAAGCTTTGTTCCAACATCTCCCATTCAAAACTAAATAGAAGTAAATGCTTTACAATAAATGCAGTCTGACCTCTTTAATACACGGCGTTGATGGGGCCAGGCCCCTGGGGGTGAGAGGCAAGGTAGATGTTGAAACAGTAATGGAGGTCCGTCAGCCACTGCTCCTGAACTTCACCGCTCTTCAGTGTCTAGAAAGAAGGGGAAAAAAATGGTTAAACTCACTTTCCCCACGAGCACTCGCAAGGCTTCACTCTGTTTTTACAGTTAATCAGGTCGCTGGTAGAGGTACAAGATGCCCTTGTTCATCTCCACACACTGACTTTATTCTTCTCATTTATACATTTCAACCCGGTACCTCTGTGAAAGCTGAAATAATAAAGTGTTAGTAGTTGGGACACTAAGTCACTGCTACAGCATGAAGTGTGTGAATTACACCAGATGTGATTTCTTTACTCTTGATTAGAGTGCCTTGCCTACTTTCCGATTCTGCAATTTATAGTCAATTAAAATGCAAATGAGCAAGCATGGTTCTACTAAAGCAGGAGAGCTCAATACCCCAGTCTGCAGGAGAACTGCTACCAACAGCCCAACACGGCCCACAGTCCAGTCATTCTCTCTCCTCAGCCTTCCGAAGTGATTACAGAAAACAAACAACAACAAGCACAACCCACCCCCACAGAACATCACAAAAACTGGCTGAGGCATTTTCAACACCAAAGGAACCCAACCCCCTCAGTCTCGTTAGAGAAGCTGCGCCACACTCTCTGACACCTGCTGTCACCACCCTGGGGTGATGTTTCGATGACAGACCCGTTAAGACAGGACTAGTGGATAGGTGTGGCTGGCACAGTCAAACCTGTGGCACACACTAGTTTTGAACACTGAGAGTGTGTAAGAGCTTTGTCAAAGGCAGCTTCAGATTTTTTTTCTGAAGAAAGAAACAACTTAAGAATCTCAAGATCACGGGAACGTAGGCATGTGAATAGAAGGGCTGGGCTTTCCAATATTTGAAAGAGAGTATTTTGCACTGTATGTATTTAAGAGAGTTTGAGTTAATCACATCTTTGTACGCCTGTTTATCAGAGCAGGGCTGTACAGAAGAGACTGTTACTGTTTGTTACTTTAGGACAGCTCTCCCTCAGACAGACCCTGTAGGCAATCCCCATCCAGGGCCTTTTGTTAGGAAGCCAACTGCTGCCCAGGGCCACTGGACTGGGTGCAGAACTCTCACCTGTGCAGTGACCATGGGAGCTCGGACAAATAGCAGCCTGGAATTCCAAGACAAATGAAAGACAATCATATCTTATATTTCGCTAAAAATCTGCTGTGTCTGCAATAATTTTTAAACCTTGCATATACCCTTGTGATCTGCGAGAGACAAGAAGTTTCATACCATGATGTCCTTGATAATCTGTTGCACCAGGAATTCATTGGTGATCATATGGCTCCTGAGCTGCCCATGCTGCATGAGCAAGCGAAGCAACTGAGCGACAACGGGTAGTTCCTCCCGACAGATCCTGCTGACTTGCAGGCTCTGCAGCATCAGCCTCAGCAGCCGCGGCAGGAGCGCTAACGCAGAGATACACGATGCCCACAGCACGTCCCTGAGAGCAAAGAGACAACAAACACTGAAATGATCCGGGACGCGCACTTCTAGTGTGCTTCTGCCAGCCAGCCTCCAGCTGCACAGGGAAACGTGCCTCTCTGAATGCAGTCATGCCAACTGCCTTCACCAGGATTACTGCCCAAGCAGAAAATCTGTACCAGAAAATGCTAAACTTGCAAATATTCTAAAATTAGGTACAGCACTAGGAAAAATTAAGGTCCTGCCCTGGAGCTACAAATGTTGCTGAAGCTCTTCCACAGTGAAATTTCTGCCTGATGCAGCCAGGGAGAGGGTTTTGTTTCAGTCCCTGCTCAGGTACAACTGAATCTTCATTTAAGACTCATAAGAAATCAAACAATGGAATCGGCTTTTGTGATACGCAAGTCATTAAATACAGTCAGTAAAGGAGGACTCTGGCTTTAAAAACACATCTTAAATTTTAAGTAAGCTTTGAACAACTTTCATGTATATGGAACAGTTAAAGGAAAAAATCTGAAGTTCAATCTATTTAAAGGCATTTCTGTTACACAGGTAAATAAACTTATTTAAATCTGTATCTGTGGCTTTTGGTTTTTTAAATTCAAATGGATTTGCAGTCTATAAAATGATGCCTGAGAAGTTTTGTTAAAGCTGAAATCTCAAGTCAGTTAAGAGTACAAGCTTATAAAGCCAAATCCCTTGCATGTTGCTTTTCAATGTATCTAATGAAACTAAAGGCTAAAGCTAAAGATTAAGGTATAAATATCCACCTTTCTAAAGTCAGGATGGTTCTGCCATCTAACTGGAACAATTTGAGATGAAACCTTCTTCAGTTACTGTTTTAAATAATTCCAGCTAACTTTGCAGCTGTTTTGAACTAAGCAAATGACAGCAAAACAAATCGGGGGGATGCGGCGGGGGGAATCCTTTCATTTTACCTCTCTAAATACTTGTGGGTGCAAAGGCAGAGACAATGGGCAGGGTAAGGAAAGCAGCGGTACCTTTTCTGTACATGTTCTGCGTCCTCTTTGTCTAAGGTCAGCAGAAAGTAGAGAAGACTGTAACAGCAGGAGGCTAAGAACTTGTGCAGGGTTTCACTTAGGATGCAGGCTTGATCCAAGAGCTTATTTATGGCACATAGAACAGATCCAGCTGTGCTATCGGGGATTACCACCAATCCAACCTGTATTACAACAGAAAACCCAAGTTCATCACTTCATACACAAGGCTTTTTTTGCCGATATAGAAATACACCTAGAACTGAATGAATCTCTTTCCTATCATGACATACATTACTTTGTTTCTCTCCAGATTCTACACACCACTGCATTTTTTCAAATCTGCATTTTCCTCAGGAGTTGCCACCCATACACCAACACAGGTTAAACCGGCGTCTTCATTCCAACCCCCTCGAAATAAACACTCATCTCAAATGTATTTTACAAAAAACCAAACAACTGCTGCTGTGAGCCTTGCTCTGAAAGATGGTAGAGGAGCAATCCATCTTCTGCAGAGAACAGGTCTTCCCTTTTAAGCCTACATCATGGGACAGAGCAGCCCTTCGTGCGTTGCATCGGCAGCGAGCAGTCACTGGGGTAGAAGGAAACTCAGATTTTCTCTCCAGAAAGAAAAGCTTCTACTGGATGCCTTAGAAATCTGACTGGCTCAACAGGAACAAGTGCATTATGGGCTGAGTTAAATTAAACCTAATTAAACATATGGTGGGCCCACAGCTGGGGTGATCCTATTCTGTTGTTAAAATGAGAACATCATCTAAAGTAAACATTTTATAGGCATGATAAATAATACAGAAAAAAATCTTTTTTGGGGGTAGAAGCAGTGAATTAGAAACCAGTTTAAATTTTAAAGTACTACTGAGTAACTATCCTAGACTTTTGTGCTCTAAGACTGTAAAAAAAATTCATGCATTGCTAATGTGGCACCATTTACCTTATTATAAAACTCACTTAAGGAGGTTTAGAGCAGCCTAATTTGCTCACCTGTAAGTACCTTGTTTTAAGCTGACAGAGGCGGTTGGTTCACTCACCAAGGTCAGCTGTTTGCTTTAGAAATGTTTAGAAAAGATCGATAAAGTACAAGCTACAGAAATGTGGAATGTATTTCACTGGTACAGTTCCTCATGAGAGGTAAGAGATAAAGAGCAATGATAGGTTCAAACTTCTAAATATTTCCAATTTAAGACAGCAGGTGTTATTTCCAGGCCACAAGTACAGATCACTGTCCCCAGTCAAGCCTGTACCAGGCAGCTGCAGAGGCACAAGGATGGTGTTCCTGCGTGACAGAAGATGGACTGCAACTGCCACCAAAACCCTGCTGAACGCTACAGGACATTGAGGCACTAATTAATGAAATCTAATATTGATGTTCCTGGCCAACCACAAAAAGGAAATAATGGCAGTGAGCTCAATGGATGTCTGCACAGAAAGAAGCCTCCTTGAAGATCAAATGAGCCAGCACTGCTGCTGAAACAGGCTGGTCAGCCAGTCTGGAAGGTGATGCCAACACGGACATTTCAATGTATACAAATCCAGCAGATGAGATCGCTCACAGAAGTTATAGGACATTGCCCACGTGGTGCCTTTCTCCCCTGTTAGCTGTCATCAGCTAGTTAGAGCACTTGGGCAGCAGCCTCATCAACTATAAAAATGCACTTAACTGCTCTCAAAAGGACAGTGTAGTAGAATGAGTAAGCTGATTTATAAGTTCTGATTTAAGTCAACATCCAGCCCCAAAAATTCAGAGTACAGCTATAGGTAAGCCACTCCCTGTGGAAGCTTTGGTCTAGTAATTTTTCAGTAGGGCTCATACAGGGAACTGCAGATACTTGCTAGATCACAAAACCATCTTGAGAGGACAGAGAGGTCCTCCCTCTTGGCCACCAGCATCACAGGTAACTGCAAATTCTGTCCTTTACAGTTCTGTTATCCAGTTCTGGCTTTGCCATCCCCATCGGGATGAGAAGACAGACTGTAAAACTCATCTAAAGCTGCGAGTGGCTCTTTCAAAAGCAAACCAAACCCAAACCAAGCAGCCTGTCCTTTACAGCTGTCCTGGCTTAAAATGAGCGGAACTATTCACACATCAGAGCTAAAAAATCCCTTTAAGTTTCGATGCCAACAGTTATTAGATATTTTTTAAAACTCCTCTAATCTTGTTGAAAACTTCTGCAAATGCTGAAATTACATATGAAATATGTATATATGGAATTAGTGGATTAGAGGGTCAATGAGACTGTTAGGACATTTCTCACAAGGAAGTTAACCTAGGATACAAAATAGTACTTACCAGATATTTACAGATGCCAGTCTGGAGAATGTCAAAACACTGACTTTGGGACGGTATGGTGGACAAGCTGTGACAGATCATCTGTTTGAATAAAACAGAAGTTATATTTAAGTACTCTTGCTGCACCCAGCAGTCATTCACTCTGTAATCATACTTTGTTGACAGACCTAAATACAAAGTACCTGTTGGGGAGACATAGGCAGCTTTGTCTCCAAGTATTGATTCTTTACAGTGTATGAGTAACTTTGTCAACAGAAATTGTTAAGTGTTTAAAGAGATGACAGCCTACACCATCAGGCTTTTTAGTAGTGGCTTTCTTCATTTTATCTATGTGATAGAAGTAGAAGGCAAAAAATACTCTATCCAGCTACAGCACCACACTGAGCCTCCACCTGCCTTTCCTCAGAGCTGAAGAATTTCAGAAAACAACTCCACAAATAACTTTATCAAAGCATCAAACAGAGGAATCACAGTGAAATGGAACAGAAAAAATAATGTAACAAAAATCTATTTCCAACTTATTTTCCTCTACGCTGCCAGAAACGTCATGCTCAAAGATGATACCAAATGTAACACTACAAAGGGAAATCTTGTTTTCTGAACTGCCAAAAACTTTCTGGTGCTTATAAACAGGCATTAGCAAACTGTATTAGCTGCCCAGAGGCATGACAGAAAGAGGTTTAAAAAAAATATAATTTAGTGAACTGAAGACTCAGATCTTAATTTTTTAGTAAAAAAAAAACCCAAAAAACACAAACCATATGGGTGAGAACGGCCAGGTTGTGGAGGGGAAAAAAAGAAAAAAAAAGAATTGGCCAAGACCCCATGAAATGCTGTATGGCTCCTGGACAGGATAAAGAAACCAGCTCTAGCAGATCTGCTAGTGAGCTGTCCTAGAATCCTTGGCAGATGGCTTTCTCTGTTCCTCTTTACCCTCCCATCTATTGCAATAATCCGCAAACTAGTCAGAGAGCTGGGATGACCTCCCTCTGTTTACATTCGTTGCTTCTCCCACCAGTGTCAACTGAAGCCTCCAGAAAGCAGCAGGCACAGCCTGAGTGTGCTATTAGACTATTCACAATTGTGAATGTCCTGCTAAGGACAAGGAACATGGAAGAACCAACACATGAGGAATGGAATCTTCTGTTTGCACTCGGGGGAATCAGAAAGAGAACAAGATCAGATATTTAAGGGAAAGAAGAATTTAAGTCCCTGAGTTTTGCAAGTATCTCCACTAAACAAAACCCACTCCTCTCAGCTGCCTTGCTGAATGAAGAGAGTGCTAAAGAAAACTTTCACAGAATGATCTGACTTGAGGGATTAAATTCTGTGACAGAGAGTCCTGGTTTTGAGACTTAAACCGAATCAGGTCAGGTCAAGACACCTAAACAAGAGATAATGACAAAACAAAAAACACCACCCATGTTGTATCAAAAATAAGAGTCCACAACATTTCCAGCTGAAGAGAGACCAGCAGTAGTTTCATCAGAAATGGCCAAACACTACCGTTTGTGGGGACATAAAAGTGTGCTCAGCTTTTTTCAAAATTACATGCCACACCTGCTCTTAGCTCTGCTCAAGCTGGCCACATTCAGGACATCCTTAACACATCTGCTTGACGGAACATAATACTGATCAGACTGTCAGGACATTGCTCATGTTAATCAATATTACAGGTGTAACCGTGCAAGTATTTTGTTTGACTAGTAGAACTACTTAAAAGACAATTTTATAGATACTTTTGCACTAAATAGCCTTATTTTTGATAGTATACATTTATTTAATAACGTAATAATATTATTAAAAAACTGTGTACTCCATCCTAAATAAGGCAGTGCTTCCGAACACTGCAATCTGAAAGTGATAAAATATTAAGCACTTTGGAATATTCCCAAGAAGTGCACTCAAAACATCTGCACTGTCAAGGAATAAAGTCAAGCTGAGACAGAGGTTACTACTGGAGATTGTCACATCAAGTACAAATTCTGATGCCAATCTGACCTCGTATTTTAATGAGTAACACTTACACAAAAGGTAAGGCTACATTGATGAAATCCGCCGTCTGACAGCTCAAAGCTGAGAACCCCTGCCCAGCCAGGAGGGTTGCACTGAGCTATAGGAGAGATCGCACGGGTTTGATGAGTAACAGCTACAGAAAAAACACAGTGAAACACAAGTGGCGGGTCGTGCTCTTGGAGACTAATAAAAACGTCTGCATGCAACTAGGAGTTTTTAACAGGAATGAGGAGAAAATTCTGTGCATAACAACTGACTACAAGGTGGCTGTCATACTACCATGAAACAGGCAAATATCAGTTTAGGATGGAAAAATAAAGATAATCACAACAGAAGCATTAAGACTGAGTACTGACTGACTGTTTAATACTACTCCTTAAGACCTTATTTAGACTATTTCTATGCAAAATAGGAGTCACTCACTTTCAAGAAAGCTAAATTCAAACTGAAGGGGCACAGAAAAATTGCACAAAGACTAGAGATCCCGCCTTACGTGTGTCAATGGAAAGAAGTTCACCTGCCCAGACTGGCAACACTATACCTGAGAAGGGATATTATTGTCACTTATAAATACAACAAAGAGGTGAAAACGACTGCAGGAAGAGAAATATAACCAAACAGCAACAAAAAGTAAAGATGGTCATAGCTGGCTAGGAACACAGATGAGATGGAAATTAGGAAGAATGTTCATGAAAGGGGAAACGCAAGAGACATTTGTTGCTCATAAGACACAGCACAGAAGTTCACAAGTGGGCTATGCCATATGCTTGTGAGCACGTGACATTAGACACAGTATGCCAGAGAGATCCCTTCTAATTCAATACATGCCTCATGAGGTCCACCCAGCAAACCAAGGTTTCATTATTAATAAAACCACTATTAATATTTCACCCTTTGGAATACGCCCTCAGAACAGGCCTGCCAGTCCTCTGAGGTTCTCCCTGAGATGACAAGTTGTAAGAGCTTTTCCGAACAGGTACAATTCACCAACACTCAAGACTCTTCCAGAATTGGCAAGCAAAAGGGGCATCACGCCACTGAAGGGCAGCACACTTGTTTGGAAGAGTTGTTGTAAAGTGCACTGGCAAGTTCGTTTTTCAACCTTAAAGGTCTTTCTGACCCCCAAAATAGCACCACCATTCCCTACAAGCAGTTCTATTGTCCTACGATGAAGTGGGAGTGGCAATCCTTTTCAATTCCATAAATTAAATCCTGCTTGAAATGGCTTTCATAACAAATGCATGTTCTAAAAAGTGAAACTGAAACGTTATTAGACACGAAAATGAAAAGCAAAGAAAACTTAATTATCACATGAAAATTAGTATTTTTCCTGACAATTTCTTTTCCTTAGGCAAGGGTTTGCATGATGTTTAATTTCCATAATAAAATGTCACAGCTGATTCATTATTTTTCATTTGATTAGCATTTATCACATTTTTGGCGCATTCACAGATTGGTTTTGGACCAAAGCCAGAGTAGTTTTGTTTCAGAGTATTACTGAAGTGAATGGACAGAGAACAAGCATTTCTGATCATAGGGAGGGTTTAGATCTTTCTGAGATAAGTACTTTATAGCTGGTTTGGTTTAGAGGTTGGGTTTCTGGGGTTTGTGGGTTTTTAAAATTTTATTTGAATGGCCACTTGAATAAATATGGGGATATCTGTTAGCATTATGCAGCAAATACTACAGGCTCCATAATCCACTGGCAGATTTTCCAAACCAAGCCTTATTGATCAAATGAGTCCTACTACCTGTCACACTCACAAGCCACACGAGTAGAGCAGCAGGTTCCCTACTAGTGCTTCTGAAAATCGTTACTACTCAGGCCTCCCTGCCTGCCCTACTGAAGATTATACTCCAACAGCAGCCAGCTAAAATGAGAAAAACACACACACAAAGAAACAGACAGACAGACGGACTGGGTAGGCAGCCCAGGAGCACTCCCCGGGCTTTTTTGGAGATCCTGACACCATGGAGTATTTTCCTCTGCTCTTCAACTGGATGAGTTAAAAGCATTTTTGCT